CGGTCCGGTGCCTCCTGCGCCGGCCCGGCCCCGCAGCCGCCGGGCTGCGCCTCCTTTGACTCGCAGTCCTTGGAGATCCAGCGCCGGGGGTGGGGGGGGCGACGGGGGACCGGGAGGGGGAGTCTCGGGCAGAACCTGGGGGCACTCACGCCTTTCCCACTCTGCCCCCCCTGGGGGCCTCAGGGAGAGCCCTAACCTCTAAGGTCCGAGGTGCCTGTCTCCTGGGCGAGCTAAGGCGCTGGGCAGGAAAGATGGGTCGTTTCCCTTCGGACCCCTGCGGAGAGCAGGCTGTGTCTTTAGACATGTGTCAGGGCTCAGGACCCCCCACCCCACACCCACCCACACAGGGCACCACCGCACCGTCCAGGTCCGGTGCCCCGGGGGGGGGAACCCCCCCCCCGAAATGGAAAGATCAGAGGTCAAATGCTCCCCTCCACCTGCCACGCTAGTGTGTGTGTGTGTGTAAATTGAAATGATGGAGTGGTGGCAGGCACCCCCAGAAATAACGCACCTCCCCTGGAGGTTCGAGGCTATTACTATGTCCCCTGGAGGGGGGGGGGTATGAGAAGATCTGTCATCTTTGGGTCAAACCTGTAGTGAGAAAAGTGACAGAGCCAGGGGACCCCAGCGTCACAGCCACCATCTGGAACTGCCCCTTCCCTTGGCACTTGGTGCTCTGGCACCTGAGGACAAATCCTCTGCCTCCCCTCGGTCTCCCAGCGTTCCTGAGCTCTTCTCTGACAAGGGAGGACTCAGAAGGCCGCTGGGATGGCGAGGTGGGAACAGCGAAGGTGTGCAACCTCGCCTGGGGCCCTGTGAGGATATGGGTGTAGCATGGCCTTCGGGAAGGGCAAGGAGCCAGAGAAGACACCAGCGAGCGTGGACAGCCAAGAGCCTGTCTAGGTCTTGTTCTTGCAGTACGCTTTTAGAGGACATTTACTTTGTTGGCATCTTAGGATGGCTTGTTGAGGAAAGCCATAGATCATGTCTAACCAATGACCCTCCCACTCCTCACAGCTTGGTAACCTGTCTTCCTATTTCATTTTATCCCAATATATTTAAGAGGTTTTTTTGCCAAGAAAAAAAAAATCACACAAGCTTGTAACTGATTCTGGGTCACAACAATTATGCTTAAGTTCATAACTTCTTTTTTCTTTCAGAAAATAGTGCAAACAGTATGTTTATATGTAATAGATATAAATATGCATATTATATATATATATATATATATATCCCATTTCTTGATTTCTCCAGAGGACCAAAAGAAAACACAGATGCACACACCATTACAAAAGATAGATAAAAGTTGATGTTTTCACCAAAAAAACATGCAATTTTTTTTCAATGTAACACTAAGATGGCTAGTTGCCTATCACACATACAGTACTCTGGTGCATGCATGCACACAGAGACAAGCATGCACACAGAGACAAGCATGCACACAGCAGCAGATAAATAAGGTCTGATACTTGTATCGACCTTTATACTACAAATAGAATTATTGTTTATCTCCAGCAAAAAAGTTGGATTATGCTAGAGAAGAATTGGCAGCCTCTGAAATAAATTAGACATTAAATCTTTCTGCAGAAAAGGGAGAGGAGACAAGGCCTCACTAATCAAACAGTAGTAGGATATTAAAAAAATATCTTTATGAACATACATTGACAAAGCATACATTGTACACAGCTTGAATCAGTTCACTCCTCTGTTATACTTGCTTAACCCCCCTTCTTCTCTCCCATTTTTTCAATGTTTTGTGGTTTTATTACCTATGCTATTTTTATCACACCAGTGGAATTTCTTAGTAGTTGTTTATCATCAAATAGTGTCCAACATCTCAAAGTCTTTTGTATTTTTGTTTTCGTGTGTGAGAAAATTTCCATATGTATAAAATAAGGCAAATAGACAATATATTATCAATCAGGTATAGACAAAGTCAATATAGTTATTTGATTCTACCCGTAATTTGCCAGTATTTTTGACAAAGAAAACTGGCATAAGCAGAAACAAAATTCTGCCATGCATACCAGGTCGTAAACCCATAGGAGTCATAAAAGGAACTGAGATTATGGGAAAAGGAAGGAACCAATTGTGAATAAGGGACTTAGGAAGGCTTGTGGAAAATTGGTTTTTAAACAAAAGGAAGAAATTAGAAACATCGTCAGGACAGAGAGGAACTAAGTAAAGCTTGAAGGTAGGGAAGGACACAGCATGCATGGGTAACAGAGAAGACTAATGTAAACATGTAATGCAGAAATAGTGACGGTGGGATTGAAGTTGGGGGAAGGGTTTAGAAAACTATTTTTTTCTTCAAAAGCTGACATTTAAAACCTTCTCATTATCTAAATCCAAATCTGTCTGATCCAGAAGGAGCAATCTAGTGCTTGGCATGGAGCTCGGTGGGGGAGCACTTACCTAGAATGTGGAAGACCTTGAGTTTGATTCTAACTAAGCACTACAAAAAGAAAAGGAAAAGAGATGGTCTTCATTTCCAGAGCTAAAGGCTGGGGTACATGCTGAAAATCGACAAGAAATTAACATCCAAGGTTTTCATGACTTTACTGAGTTGTTAGACTAAGATTATTTGCAAGACACCTCAAGAGCCAGAGGTCACATGCTCAAACTAAATGAACAAGCAAAAAATGTACTTCAGCTGCTTCTTAGCTAAGGTAGAAATACTTTTCCAGGACTCTGATCAGAAGAATATTCATTTCCCATCATATTGACAAGGTCATATGCCTGCATTTTCCTGGTCTATTTTCCTAATGTATATTTTCTTAATCTTACCTATCTTCTTAATAAGTTACAGATTAGGATTAGGGGTAGGTGTAGGTGCAAGTAGGAGTATCGGTGGGGGAGTTGGGTTAAAGATCAGGGTAGGGCTAGGTTTAAACTTAAAGTTAAAATGATTTCTATTCAGTCTATTTTCTTATCCCAATAGCATGTTTTCCATAAGAAGACACTGATGGAATATCTGAATACACGAAATCTATGAATGTGACTTGCCTGTGTACTGTGTGTGACCTGGAAAACACAGAAATATGTCCTCTTACGTTATCTGTCCTTTATGGTTCTGAGATTTTACATTTAAGGTAATTTATCAATTTCTTCATCATCTAAGCAAATGTTTCAGGGGCTTTAGTTAGTTCTTGGTTATTTCATTTATAAAAATAAGCCAAATATGAGCAGAACTCCGGGCATATTGAAAAGCTGCATAGTAAGAAATAGCAACAGGACTGGATGGATGGTTAAATAAAAACAGATAAATCTGATTTAGAAGAATCAATAAAGTGAACATGAGGGAGTAGCAGAAAGATAGAAAAAGATAAGGTGCATTATATGTGGAAATTATCTTCTCAGAGAGATCCTGCCTCTTACATCTTCAATCCATTCTTGCAAAAAGCATGCAGGTACATAATCAACACATTGAGCCTAGACATCAATGGTGTGTTATTGGCATTATTTAAACATTGTTTTCATTTCTCTATTTCTAGTGTTATTTTTGTTTACTCTCTCTGTTGACAGAAATCATGTGTGTTAAGATCACACTATTAGGAAACAGGACGTTCCATCTGTTCATTTATATTTTTAAAATGTCACAAACCATTATACCTATTCATTTACTTGTCTAGAAAATTGCCTGTTTGGACCTTTTTTTTATTACCACAAAGGAAGAAAAATATCCACTGTATCTATAAACAAATAGCCTGAAGCCCCAACAAATGGATGATCCTGCTACTGCCTTTCCTTCTCCATTAAGGCCACTTTTTCTAATGATCGTGTCTTTGAGAATAATTTCTACCTTCTCAATACAACAACATTTTAGATGTTTTACCAGGCAATTTGTGAGTGGACCTTTAGTGGTAGCATTTAGATCTTAACACCTCTTTCCCCAAAATGCCTTATTTCCTTAACTGTTCTATTTGGAATGAAGAAATAGAAGAGGCAGATTTATGGTCAGGGGCACCCTAATTGTCACAGGTTCCTACTTTTTAATTTCTTCCAAGATACATGGGGTCATTTTCCTTCCTGGCTACTTCATCATATTCCCTCTGGGCAAATAAATGCTCACTTCACGGTGAAATTATGCAATAACTGCCTATAATTTGCTGCTTGCCAGAATAATATTTTCTCAACTCTAAGGGAGTATTACATATATATGTGCATATATACATGTATATATATATATATATATATATATATTCCTTTATGGAGACTTCCCTGGGAAAAATATATAAATGAACAGAAAAGATAATGTAAAAACTATTGGTAACATATTTAGGAACCAATGATTGATGCAATTTTAAAATTTTATTCAAGGCAAAAGAAGAAAGGGAGAAGGAATAAAGCAATGGTTAGCAATGGATGTGCTGTATATATCAAGCATCAAGATGTGAATTTCAGGTTGCCCAAATATTGATCACAACATGCAGAAATCATATTTTTGACCATGGGTAGTATTGA